TCAATTAAAAATGAAATTAATCAGCTTTGAGTCGAAATGAACACGTTATGTAGCCCCACTGGGATTCCTATAACTGGAAGGCATTGTGCAATATCCAGAGTTGATTGAAGTTAAACATCAGTAGCTTTAAATGCCGACTAAATGGTCTAGAGTTTAAGTGTTCACCCAGGTTCGATTTCGGAGTGGTGTTCGTGAATGAGTGCTGACGATGAGTCCTATAATTGAACTATGAAAGCTATTTTTGAGGACGTTATTTCACTTAATTCAAAGCTTGTGAAATAATAACACTTATTTTTGTCCTTAGTTTATACTGCAAACCATAAGCTTTCGTTTGATGTATGATTTACTGCCAAAGCTATCGTAATTTAAACGTAATCTTTAGTACTGTATTTTACTACCTTAATGCCTAGTCTTGGGCATGATTGTCATCTATTTATTTATGTCTTTTTGCCATAATCTGAATCGGAATCAATCGAGTAGTGCTCCAGTTGGCTCATCTCCTCTCTTTTGCTTCTTAACCAATCAGGTGATAGAATAGTTTTCGTCTCTCTACCAAAGGCAGTTAGTTTCACTTCGAACTCACGCGAATCTAGCCTCAAGGTTCAACCAGTCAGTCTATCGTATCAAGGTTAACCTTTCCCTTCCATAATTATTAGATATTTGTTCAGTAATTTTTGTTAGTTTTTTTTTCAACCCTATCCCTAACCTTTTTATTATTCTTTAGTGTTCTGATATTCTTCTCTTACATAATCTGGATAATGTTCACATAGTTAAACAGTTGAAATCACGAGTTACTCTAAACTAGACCACCAATGAAAACTCGAGAGCACAAGACGGCCGTTTCGTCCTAGTATATTACTCCTCATCAAATAATAAATAAACAAACTAAATGTTGGGATATTCAGGAAAATATCCCAAAAATTATTTTATTAAGTCTAACGTTATTCTTGGACTTGGAGATGGTATTATCCTCTTATTGGTCAGTGCTTATTTCACGTGTCATTTTCCTACTGGTCAATATTGTACAATGTTACTTTCTATTTTATGGTACGATGTGGTCTGCTCGATTAGTATATAAACAGAGTGTGTTTGAAATATAATGATTCATATATCCGAGGCTGAAACTTGTGTTCTGGACTCAACTGGCTAGGTTAGACAGGGAAGCGGGATCAATCAGAACCCTAGGCCGTTCTACGTGTTTGCGCGTCTTTGGTCCGATCAACAATTCGCTACCCCTTAATCAGCAGCATATTTTCACATTATAACACTAAACTAACCCAAATTTAAATAGTACAAAGGACTAAAGCAAAATATTTAGTGTGATCAATAAAAAAGCAGGTCTGACCAAGTCACTGTTATGTCATTCCGGTCAAGGTGATTTATGTGAGACATATTTGTGCAATTGTGTGTAAGTTAATGGTGGATGAAAAATGTGACATTTGTGATGTGAAGGAAAGAGTTAAATTTGTGTATATGAGAATAGTGTGAGATGTGAATAGAATCAGACATGGCAGCTCATATAGATGGTCCAAGTCAGATGAATCAGAAGAATATCTGAGCCTAAATGATTTTCAGCAGTTGAGACGTTTTGTAATAGTAAATAAAATTTATATGTAGGCATTGTAAGTCTTAATATTACAATGACCAAACCAGTAAACTACAACAATGTCGAAAAAGATGAACAATTGAGCGAAAAATATATGTTGATAGGGGATATAATTAACTGATCTTAGTTACACAACCACTGTAAATCAGAAAGTACTGGATAGCTTTTTCATCACGATAAGATGTGATTAGTAGAGCTTTACTATGTTAAGAATAAGACAGTTACCTACCAATAGAGTTGGAGAATGGATGTGCAAGATCGCAAATCAACTGAAGTTTGAAATGTACACCAATGGATGATCTAAAAGCCATATTAGAACGAAAAAGCTATCCTGCGCCTTCTGAATTTTATTGGTTGTTTTAGCGATAGTCAGTTTGTGGTATAAGCTATGAAATTTAAAAGTCTACACAGACTCTCTACACAAATAAAAGTATAATTCGCTTTTTAGACCGTACTATGTTATGGACTGATGAAGAGATTTTCGAATCAATTCTCAGTTGACTAGTAACTTGGCTTTATATAAAAATTCTTTGGATACATAATTCTAACTTATGAATAAAACATTAAGCCACTGAATAAGAAGCACATTACCTCAATATTTTCTGACAAAAGTGAGTACTACAAGAAAGTCTCTAACATTCTGATGTAACAAATCACCAGTGATCGCTAACCCATTACTTTGTACATCTCCAAAGATTAAATCGATAATTTGCAATACACTTAAAGCCAATTCATTTATATCTCGAGTTAATGTTGACTGATTTTTTGTTGAAAATCCAATTTTTTTTATTAATTAATTAATTGGATCACATTTCATAGAGAAGCTTTAAAACACGTGAGATTTTTTTACATATCTAGGTAGCTTCACTGATAAACCAGAAGAGTCTGAGGCAGATGTGAAGGTATCGATTAGAAAAACAAGGATAACATTCATACAATCTAAGGACATCTGGAAATAAAAATAACTGTCAAACATCGAAGTTCAAACCTTTGACACAAAATATCAAGACAGTCTTATTGTACGTAGCTAAAACTTGGAAAACTATAATCATCATCAAAAATGTACAGGTATTAAAAAACAACTGTCTACGCAAGATACTCCAGACCATCAGCAACAACGTACTGTGGGAGAAACAAACCAAATGACAGTTGAAGAGGAAATCAAGTAAAGACGCTGGAAGTGCATAGTGTACGCAATGCGGGAATCAAACTGCATCACAAGGCATGCCCTAAGCTAGAAGCCTGGAGGTGAAAGGAAGATAGGTCAACCAAAAAACTCATTGCGTCCAGAATCGGAGGCAGACATAAAAAAATAGATAGCAGTTGACAACGAATGGAAGAAACAGCTTAGAACGGAGAATCCTGGTCTTTAGTCTATGCTTTCACGAATGGTAACAGCAGTAAGTAAACTAATATTGATCAACTAGAATCTGAAGAATGTACTTTGTTCAAATTACATTACATTTGAATATAAAATGCCGACGAGCCAATCACGTATAACATAACAGGTCTCAGATTTTGGCGCAAAATTCACTCATTCATTCGCATAAATAGAGTCTTGGCATTATGGCTGATGTCAGTTCGTGATGATAACCCTAAATCTAATTTCCAACCTTAATCATCAATTGCAAATCATAATTATAGTTTTTCACACAGGTTTATAACCTTCATTTGGTTCTGTTTATTAGGTGGACAATCTCAAAGTCAATCTAGCGTCGCTCAATATATCGATGTACGCTTATATAAACGTTTAGAAATGTTCGGAATTAAAAGATGGTTAAATTTCTCAAAAGAAAATTGTACTTACATGAATTTCGAGGTTCAACTCATTTTAATACATTACAAACTCTGAGTACACTGATGTGCATAACATTACAAGAGGATATTTTTTTGTGAACACAGGTCACTCAATCAAGACTGACTCTGCGTTTAAAGTCATCTACAAGGTAAGTAGAAGTCTTCCAAAGACAATTAGATTGCATCTTCTTCGCATTGCCGAAGCAATAGCTATACATCTGGAAAAACAAGAATTGTGTGTGCAAGAGATTAGTACAACCTCTTCTACCATGGCCTTGATGTCTTATAACTTTTTTCTTTCTCTATACTATTCTTCCTTTATAGTCATTTACTTCCCCTACCATCTTCTCCTTAAACCTTCTACCCCCAACTGATTTATTTCTGTTACCACGATCATCCTGATGACATTTAATCTCAATTTCAACATTTTATCTTATCATGCTGAGCCATCCTGCCCTAATGATAATTTCCCTATCTATCTTTTGACGAATATTTAAGCCATTAACAATCAAACGATTATTAAGATTTCCTTGTTTTCTAAAAACAATTTTTAATACCCCTGTTTATTTAACCTCACTGTCACTATGTCTAACAGAAATTTATTATCAGTATTACTACCATTCTGAAAACATAAGTACTTGTATCTGTGTTTGTACAGCTTTGAAAATGAATTCACCGAAAAGGGGAGAACTCTTCACTGAACTAATCTTTTTTTATTTAAAAAAGAGAAGTCTTTCAACTAATTGTGTCGAAGTGATGATTGTCAACACAGACAAACTGGAAATTAACATAATAATACGGAATTCCGTTAGTGATTTAACAAGATTTTACATATATTTCTTTCTTTTTTGTAATCTATATAACCGTTCTGTTTTACTTTATGGCAGCGAAACATGGCCATTAAGAGTAGAAGACACTCGTAAGCTATTAGCATTTGACCACAGATGCCTTAGAAATATTGCTGGCGTCTGTTGGGATCACCGGGTAAGTAATAGTGAGGTTAGACGCAGGGTATTAGGGAATGATGGTAAATCAGTTGATGAGGTTATGAATCTTCATCGACTGAGATGGTTGGGCCACGTGTTACGTATGTCCGAACACCGATTACCACGACGTGCAATGCTAACCGGTGTTCGGGATGGTTGGAAGAAGTTAGGGGCGACCAAACTAGTAGACTTGAGCTTTAATGTTTGTTAATATATCATTCTTCTATACGAAAATGGAGTTATTAGCTTAAAGCATTCAACTCTTGCCTTCTAGATTACAAATTCGAATTATGCTCAATCTAGTTTAAATTAAGCAACCTTAAACACTTGAAATATGATACACAAGATGAGTATATAAAGCCCTCGATTCAGTAAATGAATTATACATTGAAATTATCACATATTTAATACTTAAATATAAAATGAATGTTTATTGCATCCCGCAAGGCAAGATCGTGGATACACACACTAATGAAGAGTCAGACAATAAGACGAAACGGCTGTCTAGTGCTTCGGGATTTTCCATGATGATCTAGCTTTAATCGACTTAAGATCTCAATCATTAAAAGTTGTTATGGATCGTTGAACAAAAAACAAGAAAGAAACAACTAATAATTGTTCACTTATTAATTTTTTCTGCATGTGTATTTTGTGAAAACATATGAACATTTTACATTGAAATTACTAGAAAAAAGAGAAAAGATAGAAAGAGACCGAGAGAAAAAGAACAAAAGACAAGATATAGGATTGCATTGTTTTAAAAAAAACAAAACAGAAGAACAGAAACATTAGAGAAAATATAGCATACAATTGTTTGTTCCAATCAATTCATACATAATATATATGTAACGATATTAGTAGTTAACTGGATGGATCGTTCATTACATTCTTTGTCACATTATTCTTCTTTATATCATCAAAAAAAAAGATAAAACACAATCTCCAAGAGAATAGGGATTAAAGATTGACAAAGCAAAACCTACTAACATTAATGTGTACACATATTCTCAATTGACACATGTAACGTAACTCTCTGTTACTACTTATTATTATTCAATAATAATGGTTCATTAATTCATCATTCATTTGTAAAATAAAATGAATACTATCAAGCACAACAAACCAACCGATAATTCATTAAAACACATTGCTATATTGAATGACAACAGATTCATACAAACTAATTATGATAATGATCATTAAATGAAGAAAACATGGTGTACAATATATGTGCGAGAGAAAGTGAAAGAGAAGAAAAGGATACAAAAGAAGAAGAGAAAGAATGAAATAGAATAATGTTGAGAAGAGCTTCTATTAATCAGACTCATTAGAATATTCATTAGACAAACAATCACTGACCTGTTGTTTTCACTGATATTTACGATAGAATGCTTGACAGGGGAACAAAAAGAATTGAGATACACTATTTAGCATGCATTCTTATTTCATTTTAATCACATGAAGAAATTCAAACAAAAACTTAGCACCTATAAGTACTCAACAACAAAAAAATTCAAAGTGTACATTATCATCACACACACACACACACATACATGACATAGATGGGCTGTATCATGTCAATAATTCAAACGGAACATCGAGTCATATGCAAATACATCCTTTTATCATCGATCCAAGTTTATGAATCCCAATAATGTATACATATATAAACGTTGAAACAAGCAAAACTTTCTTTCTTTTTTCTCTCTACACGATAGCAATCAAAAACAGAACCAAACAAGAAAATAGTAACTGATGAACTATTCATCATTTACCAGGAAGAAATTTATCAAATGTAAACAAGAACACATACAATTACATATGAATAGATGACCCATAGTCTCAAGCAATAAAAAGAAGGTTAAAGGATAAAAACTGAAATACCAACGAAAGACAATAAGCATACAGAGATGGGAAGAAGAGAACAAACAATATGTATGTGTATCTGACAGCATGATAATAGTAGGTAAGAATGAAAGTAATGTTTGTAATGCTCAAACCTCAAAATATCTTTTTCATACCAACCTTCTTTTCATTAGGAAAAAAGAATATCAAGAATTCGAAGAGGAAGGAGACAATGATAGCGACGGCAACGGCAACGACAACAATAACGATAAGTGAAAGATAGAGACTTTAGCAATCTTCACACACTAAACATATTACAAAACTCTATATACATGAACAACAAAATATATGTGTTTATTGTAACATATATTAGTGTGCTGAACACCATAAAACAAATTGAACAGTGAAGTATTTCGAGGAGGAGTTTTATTATTATTATTATTTCGAAAGAAAAATGGTATGATTTTCTTCTTCTTCTCAATTTGAGGAGATAAAATAAGTGAAAAGCAAAAACAAAAACATTACAATTTTAACTGATAACTATCAATGTTGATAGAATAAAAATACTAATTATTATCCGGTGACGATCTTCACCTATTACGCTTAACATCTGATGATACTGATGATGAAGATGACGAGCCATTATTCGCTGTTGTTGATGGTTGTTGATTATTTGTTCCACTACGTGAACCGGATGTACGACGTTCATTAGGTGGAATTGTATCTGATGGATGAAGAGTATATGTTAAACGTTGATGTGATGGTAAATGTAAAAAGAATGGATGTGTAAGTGCTGCAGACAAAGGAATACGATCTGCTGGATCATATTCTAACATCTTAGACATTAAATCAAATAGATCAAGTGTATCTTGACTTTCATCTTTGCAATAACGCTGAAAATTAATGAAATAACAGATAGAAGTAAGACAAGAAAAAGAAATATGATTAGCGTAATTTATTTGTTAAACAATGCAATATAATTAGTATGACAAATGTTAACAAAACTATCCGCTTTGACCCTACAACATGTTAAATAACCTAGTACGGTCGAGGGTGGGGAGTCAGCTCTTCCTCTCCAAACGCTCTCACATATGGCCACGCGTACAGAGCTACTACCAGGGAAAGTCCTACTCACTGCCTTCTATTTATGAAATTGAGAAGACGAAAAACTCCCCTGTACCAATGTATGTACGTTTAAATTTACATATTGAAGTAATGAGTTTACTTAACTTCTATTCAAAAATATAGTTTCGAAATGTTACATCTAAATAACATGTAGAGCTAAAGATGATAGATCGAACAGGAAAAAAGTCACCAAGTCTAAAAATAAGTGACAGTTAATCACAGGACTGCAGAGGTCATTTTGTCATATCCATTATAGAACCTGATATAATATGGGCGTTTGTCCAAATTGTCACACTATAACGGTAAAGTATGATGAAATAAAGATATATAGCAAAGAATCAATGATAATAGCAGTCGTAGAAGAAAAGAATACGGATATATCATACGAATTGGCGAATTACGAGTGATTCTCAATCATATTACCCAATATTTACAGTTATTTGTTATGATAATTACACCGCATCCAATAAAATATTCTCGATCCATCTACACACCTTGATCTAACAGCCCATGACTATTACGTATTAATTTAGGGGAAGTTAGCTATATTCGAACATATCTCCTCACACCAGCTAACATAAGTGAATATATTGATTAAACAATCCAACAGTAAAGCGCTAGTAACAACTTTAGCTATTGATCCTTCACAATAAATATGGTGAACAAAAGTGTCGAGATTAATTTGATAAAAACAAATATATGCACATGTGTAGCTCAAAAAAATCTAATAAACATCCCACACACAAAAAAAAGCCCAGAAACAAACCAAATAAATATTCAGTAAAGCGTTTTACATGAGCAAATAAGGCAAAGACTCATTATGCAATATTAACGCATACTCATACATACATAAACGAACAAACGAAGATAATGTTAGTATTAAATAGAATAAACACTCATGATTATGCAACAGATGATAAGGAGAGAAAATAATTAAAGTTACCCGGAATGGACGACAATGTGTCAGAACATATTTGGCTTCACGTGATTGTGCATCCCATAAAAGATTGCCAGATGTATCAAAGTATTTGGTTCGACTAGAAACACAGATAGATACGTGTGCGTATGTGTGCATGCATTATGATCATTACAATAAGATTAACAATAATATTAATAATAGTTATTATTCGATGAAAATCTCGAATTAACCGCAAAATATCATAGATCCATCCATAATATTAAGGCAATTAAAAGTGATTTAGCAAACAAGTAATTAATTAAAAAGAGATGGGATGCAAATAAACACATGCAAAAGAAATCCTTTAGAGAGAAAAAGAAAGAAAGTAAACCCAGTCTGGAGAGTGGAAAAGAATAGATATCTGATGTGAGCATTCTTTTCATTTGATGATAATTATAATGGTATAATATTGACACGATGCAGTAGGATAAATATCTTCTTTTAAAATATATTTATTGTGTGCCCATGAAACAAGCTTGAATAGTTTTTTTTTTATATAATCACTTATCAACAACTTACAAGTAAAGGACGACAATTCTCACGAACATAACGACCTTCTTGATTATAAAAATCCCAGTCCAAACGTCCATGATAGAAAAACCCAGTTCTAAACACACAAAATGAGTACTGATGTAAACATATTTTATGTAGTGATGATGATGACTGGGTCCGAATGAATAGCCTCCACCCGCATATCGTGTCAATGTACATTTTACGAGGTGATTTTTCAACAATAACAACAAATTATAATTTTTTTGAGAAATTATGTAGACAGTTGGATCAGTTAGTTTAGTTGTAAACTAATTAATAACTGATATAAATATCAGTTTAAGAGCTGTATTGTATTACTCAATGGCAGCATATTATGGAAATCGAGATAAATAAAATGAAAAAAGATAGACTGGAAATAAGAATAACCGAGATAGTGGTAATCTGAGGTATGAGTAGAACGAATGAAATGTAGTGACACAGAATTTGATCATATAGACATCAAACTTAACATTGTTTAATGATGGAGAGACAGTTTATACGATGGAAATGGAGATTCGTAGCTCAGATGGATGATGATCTTGGTAGTATTGTATCCCTCAAGATAGGTAGCTTAATTGATTAGAGCTTCCATTATCATTCAGGATAATAATATTTTTAGCATCTACTACATGTATAAGTGAGTTTTTTTTCGTTATACAACAAGTTTTAAGTCAGTTTGTCTTGCTGACCTTCTTTGCGTATAATTAATTGTACTCATAGACTTCGTTGTCTTCATCTGTCTTTTCATAGACTCGCTAGTTCCATAGATCTATGACTACACAGACCAATATGTGCATCGAATTACATACGATCTAGCAAACTACTTATCGAAAAAGATCAATTAACCACATAGTTAGAAGTTAACTGAACAAGAAAACCATCAACTTCTACATAAAGTAAAGTGTTGAAGATGTTTTCAAGCACGACAATGAAAGCTCTGCAATTATTTCACAGAAATGAACAACACCAATATATTTTAAAGATAAAGATCCCATATAGACACTAATATTATAGTGATGGAAAATAATAATAACATACCGTGACTTTCTAGTCATTCGATAAGGAATATGACCTAAAGTACGTTCCATCATAGCTAAATGTTCACGATTATCATGAGTCTAAAATGAAAATAGTAATACAGATTTTTTGTAAATTTATTTGTTTTCATTAATTTTTAATAAAACAAAATAAAACATCACAATTGTTGACTATGAACATTAAAGATATATGGACTGTAAAAATAACATATACACATGACAGAAGTAGAGATTTGTCTGATTTGCCAAAAATTAAAGGAGGAAATTCCAAATCCACATATATCTAAGTAGATATTTATCTAAGTAAGTAAGTATTGAATACAGTTCTAAGAATATAAACTTATCCATGAAAGGTGATTGTTGAATATTATAGTTAAAAATACGAAATGAACACCATTTGATGTAGATTACGTGCTAACAAGGTCAAACATTCCACGCGACAGTTAAATGTCTTGAATTCAATCTAAGAAATGAGATTTTGAACATGCACTAGTGAGGAATATAATAGTAGGACGAAAAAGATATTCAATCTTTTCTAGTTTTTAATGCTTGATCAACTAAGTTGAGTTCGGGATGTGATTTATAAAATAAACTTATCCAATGATAATTTATTATTGTAAAATACACGAATAGATTGCTGATCATTAGATGCAGTGATAATTTTTTACGAGACTGGAAGACTACTGACATAAATCCCAGAACGACTTTATTTCAAAAAAAAATGATAACAACACTATCCAAAAGAGTAAGTTTTATCTGCAGTAGAAAATATGCTTATATCACAGAATATTAGGTGTTATAAACGATCTAACTGTTACACTTAATTCTTGTTTATTATATCAAAATCGTTTTAAAGAGTGACTAAAACGTAGTGGGTCGCTGATAATGCCCTTACTAGTAGCTTTAAGAGTGGTCGAACTCAAAAAGAACGTTTCTGGGTTCAATATGTATGTGTAATATATCATAAGCACCGTATTTTCTACTTGTCGGGACCTTAAATGTCTTTGGTTCGTTGTCGCTTTTAATATGCTATTTGGAAACGCTTCCCAAGGACAATTTTATGCCGCATATATACACTTGAGTTGTGCTTGTTGTTGATCGTGCTTCTGGCTGCTTGTGGAATACATTTCCCACCTCTGAACCAGGACCACTCTCTAGTTAGTGGGTCTGGGACGCAGCAGAATAGCTAGTTTATTTGTTCATTGTGTCACTGAGTCTTCTTTCTGTTCGTAGATTAGATGGATTCGCAATCTCTTCAAACATATCACATATACACGCTAAAATTAATTAAATTTTGCTGATTTCACGCTGGATTTTTTACAAGTACGATAAACTGAATAAATGTATTTTAATACAAGTTATTTCAGTCAATGACAACGTTGATTATGCCACTTATTATCCTAAAATTTCCACAATCACTGGCTAATATTGTTTGTTGACTTGGGAGACAGTTAGGCATATGTAACACACATCAGAATTACTTCAGTCGATGACATTTCACAGATTCATCAATCGGTTGTCGTTCTACTGATTAGTTTATTACACTGTACTAAAGTTTTTCTTTAAAAAAGCGATATTTTACATTTTTGCCAAAAAAAGTAGATAAACACACATATCAATACTAAAGAATAACTTACTTGGAATAGTGTATAACCTGTATACAATTCAAACATGATGCATCCAATTGACCAAACATCACATGGTTGAGACCAACCTAATTCTGTTAAGACAGAGAGAAATATATGAAAATCAATAAAAAAATACTGTTTTAATCTAAAAACAAGATGAATTTTATTAATACTTAGTAAACACTTGAATTATCTCGATTCAGGATTGAGTTTTGACCAGATAGCCTAGATACAGAAATTTCGTTGCAAGGTTCGTTTAAAAGAGATAGATTATGACCAACAGTGGGAATAAAGGATGAGCAAGTATATCCAGCTGAACAAAACGGTAGGTTCGCTGTGGAATCCATTGCTTGCCATAAACCATTCATTATTTTAAAAAAAGTTAACTACAATGTACCGTGGGGTATTTTTGCATTGACCAGTGATTTTCAAATGAAAACCAAATTTTATAAGAAACTTTTGTGAGTCTCAATCAATCATAAGGAATTTAGAATCTAGGTAGTAGTATCACTAGCCTCGGCACAGAAATAGTGTGAGTTGAAATTAAGTAAATAAATGTATACTTGACAAATAAACAAAGTATTTTGCCAATGAAAATTGATTAATTTGAAATTTATTCTCTTATTCAACAGTTTTTAGAGACCATATGTTATTTGTTGACGTCGGTCATGTGTTTTAATGACTTCTTTCAGTGGTGATGTGTTTTGTTAGCTAGATGGTTGCAGAGCTTTTATCATTATCTTGGACGGGAAACGCTAAGGATGCCAGAGAATTTTTAGGAGCACAGTATTCACACCACTCGGCATTTAATACGCACTACAACGTAGATAAATTCCATCAATCCAAGTAGAAAAGGTCACTCAATCAAAGGTCTATAAATTAAGACACTCAATTTGAATACAAGAAAATCGACAAAGGCAACTAATGATAAACGAACTGACATGACGCTTGTGAAATAATTGAAAAGTCCACTTCTAAATGAAGTAGATACCGATTATATTGACTAGAATGACAATGAGAACTTTCGCCAATTCGACAATCTATCTCGCAGAAAACAACACTATCAAAAGTTATTATTTAAAATTATAAAATCTCCTGATGTCCTGATTTCTTTCTTGATCGATTGTACATTATGATTACTATTGAAAACTTTCAAATGTTATGAATATCTTTGACAAGATATGACATTTAATGAAAAATTGAATTGAACACTGTTAACAACTAACTAATAGGTAGTTAAATAATTATTTCATAATAAATTATACAGTATAACGCATTACTGATAGTTACAACATCGTCGTCAACCATCAAGTTCCACACAGTTAAGGATCATGGAAAAGATCTGAGTTTCGTTGATTTCTCATTTTTATTTTATTCATGATAATTATAATTTATTCATAATATTAACTAATTAATTAATTAACTAACCAAGTATTACTTCAGGTGCACGATAATGTCTTGTTGATACAATTGTAGAATGATGATCATAATCAAATGTTGCTGAACCAAAATCAATTAAACGTATATCGGAACATTTAACCATACGTTCATGTCGACGTTTTTTACGATTATGTACTGATATATAATCTGAATCAACAAATAATATATTTTCGGGTTTTAAATCTGTATGAGTTAATTGATTATCATGTAAAAATCGAACAGCATAACATAATTGATAAGATATATGACGAACATGTTCCATTGGATAACCGACATAATTATTTTCTTTCTATAAATTTAAAAGAAAAACAAATAGAAGAAAAACAAGTGTAAAGAAAAAACAACATTTATGTCTCAAATGAAAATCACATAACTTATCCAACTTGAGAAGATCAACTCCATATCAAAAAAATGCATGATACAAATACAGTAAATGAATTGTGTCTATTATTAACTGATGAGATGAGATATACAAGAAGATCTTATATGTATTAGTCTGTAACTAACCTATTAAGAATGATGTCACTTCAAATATAAATTAGTTAACATACTACAAATTTGAATCATAATCAAAGTTTAAGGGCAGATTAGATCTAAGATACAATAAATAACGTCAGGAGATGTAAAACGTACGCTAAACACATGAATAAGCTTTTGTATTGAGTCTAATATTTACTGTAAACTAGGTTTATATTGCTCACTTTATAATTGAGTAATATTGAATCGTTTAGAAAATAAATGAAAGTTTAGTCAATACAACAACGTGCTTCCGATATTTGTTGGGTTTTTTTAAGAAAATATTGTTAAAACTTTTAATTATATAGTCAATAATCATGAAGTACAGTATTGAGGTTAGATGGTGGTTGGATGTAGTCGACAGGAAACCCTGAACCCGGGTTTCATGCTACTTGGCACTCGTCAGCAAGGTGTACCTGTAATCTTGTGGGAACTGGTGCTCCCTGGCGGACTCGATCTCGTGTCATCCAACTTCACAGTCAGAGATGTTACCACTGAGCTATTCGAGCCGCGACCGACCTCCTGTAGACTGGTGGCCACATTGCAACATGATCGATAGCATTCGATCTGCAGTAATAAGGACTAGACAAGCATGGCATTGATCACCACCCAGTGATCAATCAATTGTGATTACATCTCAGTCCTACAGGAGGTCGGTCGCGGCTCGGATAGCTCAGCACAGCAGTTTAGTGCCCATGATAACTAAACATTTCGTTGTTATTATTATCACTTCAAAAAATAACTTTTCGTATGAATTGGAATAATCAAAGGTAGAGATTAATATCTAAAGAGACTATTCAGTCAGTCAGCTACAACGTAGGACGAGGCACATATATGCATCAGTCCAAGTTGTCATACCTCATTAACACAACAAGATGGACATCGGATTCATAAAAGTAGTTAATTCAGAGGTGGTAATATATAAAAGAAAGACTGCAATAAGGATATACTACAGGAAGAAAGAATTAGTTAGCAGAAAGAAAGATATGAAGCAATTTTAATCTCTTAGTTTAAAGGAAGATAGAGTGTATACACCGACGCCATTATGATCGATTCTGAGCCATGTCACCAAGAGTCTCCAACCATTGGTTACGATAGTCACGCGGACCCCAACCAAGTAGTGTGCATTTACCAACATGACTCAGACTAGAAGTTAGTGACTTCAAGCACTGATGCCACGTTTTGGTTTGGCCGCCCCTAACTCTCTTCCAACCATCCCGAACACCGGTTAGCATTGCACGTCGTGGTAATCGGTGTTCGGACATACGTAACACGTGGCCCAACCATCTCAGTCCATGAAGATTCACAACCTCATCAACTGACTTACCATCATTCCCTAATACCCTGCGTCTAACCTCACTATTACTTACCCGGTGATCCCTGCAGACCCCAGCAATATTTCTGAGGCATCTGTGGTCAAATACTAGTAGCTTACGAGTGTCTTCTACTCTTAATGGCCATGTTTCGCTGCCGTAAATTAAAACAGAACGGACTGCCGCGCAGTATACTCGTCCTTTTATTGATAGACGGATATCTCGCCTTCGCCATAGGTGACGCAAGTTGGCAAAAATCAAACGAGCTTTTCGAATCTGTGCTCAGATTTCGTCCGATACCAGCCCATTAGGGCTGATCAGACTTCCAAGATAAGTGAAGTTGTCGACGCGTTCGACTACTTCACTCCATATCCTTAGTTCAGGTGTTGACGCAGACCAGTCCTGAAGCAACAACTTGCATTTAGAGGGAGAGAAGCACATTCCAAACATTCTGGCATTGTTGCTCAGTGCTACCAAAAGACTGCATTTTATCAGCGTCTTCACCAAACAGGACTATGTCATCTGCGTATTCTAAGTCGATAAGTGGACCTCCTGGAAGGAGATCAATACCCGAGAATTCAGTCGACGAGAATGTTATTTCCATCAATAGGTCCATGATGAACTTGAACAAAAATGGGGAAAGTGGACAGCCTTGACGGACATCAATTGAGGTTGCAAAAGCAGATGACAGTTCGCCATAAGCTCTGACTCGAATAGTAGTGTTCGAGTAAAGAGCCTTCACAAGGTTTATGTACTTCTGAGGTACGCCTTTTAATGACAGACACTGCCACAGAATCTCGCGGTCTACCGAGTCAAATGCTGCTTTTAAGTCAAGAAAGACCACCATTGTCGGACGCCGGTAAGTATGCCTATGTTCTAGAACCTGACGAATGGAAAGGAGACTATTACAGTTAGTGTAACAAATAATCAGTAATCAAGACCTTTAAAGAATTTTGTAATAACAGAGTTAGGGACCATATAGCTTACTAATCTTGTTTTAAGCTTGCCAGTAAATTAGGTAGTATACAGAGCAAATGTAAAGCAGTCACAAACTTATCATATTGATTGTTATGGTATTCTGTTGAACTTTACAATTGTCTACGAATAAAAATGACTATCAACACGTTTGACAACTAGATATAAACTAGTACTCCTAGATATTGTGTAAACGAATTGATGATAAATACTATAGTACTAAAATGTATTACCGTAGTTTGATCAAGAACATAGAGAAAGTTGATAAATGATGATAATATTAATCAACATCCTAATGAGGAAAACATAGCCAGTTTTCGAAAAAAAACACTTATGAATTGCACCAACGGTTGGGTACAAGAATGAATGTTTCAACGACAGAAATAAAGGGTTAATTATTATGATTCTTATTTTCCAAAAGTTAACCATGTCATTACTACTTTGAGCAATTTAAGAGCTACTCAACTGAAAAATTAAATCAAATCTAACTAGACTAATATTTATAATTACGTACATAGTAATAAATGAAATAAGATGAATACTAGTAATACTACTTGGTTGTCCAAACGGAAGTAGATAGAGTGGAGATCGAACCTAAGAGTCACACACTCAAGAGAAAATGAACGCTTTAACCAATGAGCCACAGAACCGGCTTAACCACATTATATATATGTATATATATATATATATATTCTTTAGTTTATAGCTAAGACAGGAAACTGTGTTCAATAAGCCTATTTTTCACACATCGATCTAGGTTCTAAGAATATTCACAATAATTTAATATTTTATACAAAAATTTAGTAACTATTTCTTAGGATATAATAATCATATACATACTACCAAGAGTGAAGAAATTGACCGGAAAAAGTGGCTGAAAATAGCATTATCAATGGGCACATATCTATCTATCTACCTATGTACATAGAAATAGTGAGAATCACAGTGTGTGTTTAAGAAAACGAACACTAATACAAAATAGATCGATGACACATAGTTTATCAATGATTGGTCGGACAAACTTTCTATTGACAAAGAAACTAGGCAGTGGAAAATTTATGTATACAAGTACTGACAGTGGGATCAATAAAAAAAAAGTTATAAGCAATGACAAGTGGATTTACTTATGAATGGATACTGTTTATGACAATAATCACAAAACAATATAGATTGTTATATATGCAAGGGGTATGCACCGAATTGGACACACACTAATAGTAGAGACAACTATTTATCAACCGATTGAAAAAGAAAGTAAAACCGATACGATTCAATAAATGTATCTATGGACTACTATTAGTAAACTACTATTACAGGACTACTAAACAGTCAGTAATCTCATATCGTTGCTGTATTTGGTTATCCATTTTCTTAACTAAAATCTAGCGAATAAATACAAGTGTGATTGAAGTGGCAAACAATAGAAACTATGAAAATACACTAATACTTTGGTTAATTAATTTCCTGTTAGTGGAATTTCAATTATCCATCGTTCTCCTTTATTGATACCGATGGTTTAAACTGCCAACATTTACCTACTCACCTGCTACCTACTCTATACAAGATATTTAAGATAACTACTAGATGTGTCCTAGTGAGAAATCTACTACAGTTCCTTTTTACACCATTGAATTTAATGATGTTATACTTATGGAACATTGACTTGATGTATTACATCGATCAGAAATCGTTACATAATCAGTGTATACGTTTGGTCAAGACATTTTTTTTCATTTTCAAAAGACCACATATAAATCACTAATGAGTTTAGTTTCCTAAGTGACAGGCATTAATACATAAATATGGAAACGAGTACATATACAGGTGATTGGGTATAGCAAAATTAACTTTCGCGATTTCCGCCTTTTCTCTAGAATAGCTGAACTTATTTATAGAAAGTATGCACCGCTATCAACTATTGGACAAAACGCCTTACGACAAAGCCTTTTATAATTGACCAACATCCATTTTCATAAGAAAAAAAGAATTTCCTATTGTTTAAAAAGCGACAAAGACTCGATTAAAATCAACAGAGAGAAGAGGTAGTTAGCTCTAATTAGTTTAATTTAAATCACGAATCAGATTAAACTAGACCACAATTGAAAACCTGGAAGCCCTGGGCAGCCGTTCCGTCTTACAAGAGAACTTCTTAGCAGTCCCCACCCACGAAGGCAGCTATCTATCTATCATTCGTTTAAATCAAACAATAAAAACATTTATAGGCAGAGAGGAGCAGTGGTTAGCAATGGAATCCAGGACATGAGTTTTTGTCCTTTTTGTGATTCGTCAGCTGTACCTCCAACCTAGAACTGATATTTACTCCGAGACTCGAACCCAGTGCTGTTCGCTTCAAACACCATTGCGTTATTCACTTAGCTACTAAGTCAAGATAGCCACAAGCTTATGTAATGAATCAAACAAAATCTACTTTTATTTTTCAATATTTGACGATTAAAAACTTATTTTCAAAATACAGAAAATATAATATCCCCTTTCTATGTTATAATGTACAAGTAGATAGATAAGTAATTAGGTAAACAATACAACAAGCATTAAAATGTACTAAAAATAGTGAAATTATTTTAAATACAAAAAGAAAAATAGTACCAAGAGAATTTCAATGAAGTGAACAATTAATATAAAGACACACATATACAAACAAACATAAACTAGTTGTTAGTTAAGAATTAATGGAAACTGGCATTATCAATAAAAACTACAGTAGTAAATACTAATAATCCTACGATTATTACTATTATACTATTAATAGCAGTAGTATTATTGTTACTGATATTATTGTGTTTACCAGTAATACTATTTTTCTTTATAATTAATACAAAATGACAACAGAAAATGTACATTTCTTCGAAGGTACAAATTAACTTTAGTTAAAGATTTGAAAATACACAACAAACTTTGAGATCACATGAACACCAACAACAATACGACAATAGATTTTCGAATCAGAAAAACCCTACCTATTCCCAATCCCTTTTTAGTCGATCACCAATATAAAGAAAAAATATTCAAAATACAATTTACTTACCAAGAAATCAAAAACAGATAATCCAAGTATATCAAATGCCAAACAAATATGTCCATGATAATCAAACCAATCCAACAGGGTTACACATAAACTGTCAGGAACAAGAAGAAAAGAAAGAAGTAGTGCGGAATAAAGTAGAGAGGAAATTCAAATAAATCACAAATGAAAAATATAACATGAATTATTAGTTTATAATAAATGAATGAATAGTTGTAATGGTAACTAGATCAACATCGACAATACAGTAATTGTCTTTAATTAGTTTATTTTAAATGAATAACAAATACTGAAAAAAACTTCACATACATACACACAAACACTAGGAAATATAATAAACAAAGAAATGCCACAAATAATGGATATGTATATATCCTTTCTTATATATTTAAAAAAATAGAAATATATATATATATATATATATCGATGATGTTTATCGTACAGAACACAAATGTGAATGTGTGTGTGGAGGGGAGAGAATGAGAGGCAACAGGGAATAATGATAAATCAACACAAATTTAATTAGCACAAGAATACAAAAACAAGCACTTAATATTTATCCACAAGGTAACATGTTATTAGTACATTACCACATGTTAAATAAATAAAGATTATCTTGATTACCAATGATAATTTGAATGGATTCATTGAAGCAGAAAAAGCATACAATCTTATTGTCAATTAATAGTCATCATTACTTAATGTCGGAGATGAAATAAGATTCTCAATTGACTGACTGACTGTGGGCACTATTAAAAGTTATCAACTATTGAGCAAAAATAAAGAGAATTCAGTGAAAAAAAATCTTATTTTCGATGAAATGATGTACTCAAGCTGTACATTTGCACTTATAGTTATTTGGCAAATATATAAGTCTATGTAAAGATAGAACAGATTGCAGCTGAAAATTACAAAATAAGACCAAAATATAATACAGAAGGGAATTAGAGTCAAGGAAGGAAGAGATTGGATGTATAGTTTTAGCACACAGAGTTCGAACTTGATTTCATCTAAAATAAAATCTTTGCTGAATTCTCTTTATTTCTATTTAATGATAAAATGGATTATTTTAATTATTGTCTATTGTTTGTTTTTGAAGTATGAAGAAAATCGGTACAAAAATGGGGGATTCAGAAAAACGTGTTCCGTCCTATCGAGGACTTGTGAATTGGATGTGTATCTACATTTCAGTGTTGGATGTTCACATTCGAACTCGAGTTCAGTAAAGTTATTTTCAAATATGAATGCGTTATCCACCGGACAAATGATACAAAACATAGAAACAGCTGAAAAAATAAGTGGAAATGTGGACCTAGTATCTCAGTGGATAACTCATTGATGTTTGAAGCAAAAGGTACTGGGTTTAAGTGTTTGTATGAACATGAACACTGGGATCCAGGTAAATCTAATTGATAAGTCCGAAAAAGAAAAAATTACGAATCCTTGATCCACCTGTAAGCCACAAATAATCTATTCTAATAACATAATATTTTGAATGATAACATCTGTTTAAATACAACATTAGGGACTTGATAGATTACTAAGTTTTATTTCTGGAGTGTAATGTTGAGGAATTAGTCGGAAAAAACTGATTCAAACTATATGGCGCTTTTGTATTTTAATATTATATAGTGGTAATCACTGGCTTCTTAACCCAATTACAATAAATAGCTGAATATATGGATTGTAAAACATATGATTTTATCGCTCAACTCAACAAAATTCTTCAGTTTGCAGGTTATAGACAAATTTACATACTATTGACACCAATGTTGAGAACAAAAGTGTTTAGAGTACCCTGTCAGAGTATTTGTACCACTATGTCTTTATAAGGCAATTACAGGGGAAAAATCAACTTAGAAACCAAGTCAAAAAGGAAGCTCTACATAATTCTTTTTTACATATTATTCAAAACATGTTAGTAACTGAATGAATCACCTCCATGTACAAATTCAAGGATGGTAATCAAAACTTTTCAAACATTTGTTCAATCTGAAGATAGTTGAAATGATGTGGAGTAACGGTGGGAAAAAACACCTTAACACAAGAAATAAATGGTTTTTAACGTAGCTTGTGATTTACAACTCCAATTTCTAAATCATAAAAATAAGGATAGTAATTTTCTACATAAACAGAAAAATTGGTACAAAATACCATCAAATCATTGGATGTTTGGGTTGGGATACTGTCCAGGTACTCAAACCGGAACCAATGGACGTCTTAGGGAGCCACTCCTTGAGTCTTTAACATAGAGATCAAATCCACAAAGCAGTGGAGAAACGTGAAGATATGCAGTCCCATGATAACCGATGACCAACAGCAAGTTGATATATCATTTGTTTCCTTAGGAATCTAGAGCCCATGTGCGCCACTAGTTTTGAATCAGGGTTTACCAACTCTCCTGTTCGGATTCTCCATACCTACTAACTCGGTTTAAGCGCCGGACATTTGTTTTCCATCCTCATTTCGTAAATAACACCCTGTTTATGAGAATGTAGTGAATAGAACTTCCCTGACAGTGGCTATATACACATGACCATATGATACTAATAAATGTATATGAGTAAAATAAGCACATTTTACTTACTGTTCAACATTTGCACTACGTTCATTTAAGAAATTTAAAACATTGATTTCAAGCATAGCAGCTTCACGATATTTATCAACATTTTTGATAATTTTCAAAGCAATTCTACGATTTCTACACATGGAAATAAGTGAAATGATCAAAATAAAATATACACAAGTGGACGACAGTTTAAAAATAAGTAATAATTTCAAAATATAAGTTATTTTTATTACCGAAATGTAAACAGTGAAAGTATGATACACAAACCATAACAGAGAAATTGAAAATGACTTATCAACGACTTATCAGGGGGTGGAAGACATTTTGACTACACCGAATTACCATAAAGTTTAAAAACATGTTACGATGGCAAATTAAAAAAAAACAGATTCAGATAACATACGGTGTGGCATAGAAGAATTGAATTCGAGTCTCATAAATGTTAAAATCATATTGTAATGAACGAAAACTCAATCACGGTAAGCCGATTTATTGTTTATGCGAAATCAAACAGTGCCATTGTAAACTACGAAAATCCTACATTAAATACTTCATTCGCATATCTACCTTAAGTTCTCTTTTACATAATCTACGATTCTGCCAATTCTGTTGTTATTCCGGTCGCTTTCTGTTTTCCTTCCTCATCTTTTGGTAAGCACTCCACTTCTAATTCCTGTTAGATGCTACTTATATCTGTCCGCACCATAATATCTCATTAGTTCAGTGACTACGACGTCTATCAATTCAAACAATGCGACACTTCATTACAGAGATCGTAGTTGAAACATTCAAGCGATAGCATCATTGAACGAATATGATTTATCTTCTAGTCATATGAAAATAACGTAAGGTTATTCAGACTTAAAGCATTCAGCTATGGTGTAGAATCAGTGTATACATACCACTTCCTCTAACATTACAGCATAAAACGTCCACACTGTCAGAAAGATTACTAAGTGAAACAATTGATGACTGCATTTACGAGAATTAACCAAAAAAAATATGAACGGTTACTCATAAATAGAAAGATGACAACAACAATGACAATGGTAACAATAATGTTTATGTTGAATTAAGTGTTAATTAAACTTACTGTACATGATCTTTGCATTCAACAACTTTACCAAATGTACCTTCCCCAAGTGTCTTGACAATTTCGTCTAATTGCAAAAAAGAGAAAACAATCATGAAAAAATTAACATGATTTGACATTCTTGATAATTACTAACAATGGGATATAGATCCAGCCAAGTGTCCACAGCTTCTGTTAGGAAATATCTACTTATTACTTTTAAGGCGATGGGAGTCTTTTACAAAAATGAGAGGTGGAAAAGAGGACACCTGACGCTAAAACCATGTTGGTGGATATAGAAGCTTAAGCTAGGGGAATTGGAAAACCCTGATACCAAACCAATCGTGTATGTTCACTCCAAGATCCTGGAGGGACGAATAGCTTATGAACATATTCTAGGTCACTGGCAATTATGGGACGGTGTCTCCTAATAATTGCTCCACTACACTGTGGATTGGACCTTTAATAATAAGGTTTATCGGGTGTCCCCCTTCAGTTTGGGCACATAGGTAGTATTTCAGTACACATATTTTGTAACACATTCCATTTCTGATGCCCACTTGTAACAGATTTTAGGAGAATAAGAAATAAATACCTTCAGGTTTACAACACGTTTGCAACATGCTTCAACCTACCACAAAATCCTGGTACTAATCACAAGCAAATCCTTTATACAACTTTGAATTTTTCTTTATCTACTGAGTTTAGTAAATAACTTCACACAAACTTTTTTGACATAAACAAACGTCAGAAAAACTATTAGACGAATGCTGTGACTATTTTCAAAAGAAAACTCTCAAAATGAATTCATTTCTAATAAATCGTATTTTTTCCAAAATTATTAATTTCAAATGAAGCGTACACATGAAAATAGATAATGATGTAAAAAGATGGTATGAAAATTTTACATACAAAACAATACAGTGTGAATATTATTAAGTGGTAAACTCAATATGTTGTTAGTGTCAACAAATAGAGAGATAGAGTGTGTGAGTAAATTAAGATTCAAAATAAGTATCTCTTAAGGTACATAGCTTTTTTTCAGTTGAATTATTATAATGATTTTCATTGAAGATATTAAATGAAATGTACCATAAATAAGCATTCACAGTTACTGGGAATAGAAACAATTTGCTTATGTGAACAATAATAACAACAACATACTGAAATCTGAATGAATACATAAGAACGATTTCAAGTTATATCAATCTAAAGTAATTACTAAAACTCATATAAAACTGCCTTCTCGCGGCGGGGGTTTTATTTATGAAATTGAGAAGACGAAAAGTGAATATCCGGTGCGTCAACCGGATTGGTGGATATGGAGGATCCATCTAGGGCGGTTGGAAAACCCTGATTCCTAACCAATGATGCACATGGGCTTCAAGATCCTAAGAGAACAATAGGCGTATGAAACAATCGCTGGTCACCGGCTACCATGAAACTGCATCTCCTCACAATGCTCCACTGCCTTATGAATTAGACCTTTAGGTCAAAGGTTCGGGTTGTGCCCCCCCCCTAAGAAAACCACCTGTTTCGGTTTGGCCACCCAGTATCCTAGCCTATATGTTAATTTAAAGATAATTTATGTGGGACATACATATCTTGGCGCTTTTTTGTACAAATGTTTATGGTTAAATAAACGAAATAAATAGAAACCTCAAAAAACAGTGTTAAAATCTCCCAAGGGATAATCTAACACATTTGTTAAATTTTATATTTTGATAACTATTTACCAATAACAATAACAATGTGCACAGAAAGAGGATCGAGATCTAGGATTACATTAGATGTTTCAAAATATTAAGGACATTAGTATTGTTTAATCCATTTTTCCGGTCCTATTAAATAATTCTCTCTTCAGGAAGTTTTCGTTCGGAATTTTCATCAAGAAACAATCTTACTAAGATATGAATTTACAGGAATATATAAGCTATCGTTGACACAATTCATCAAGTACATATTTATGTATTATAGTTTGAGACACGTTCTGTCTGTGAAGCCTATAATACTACACGACTTTGGGAAGAGAAATAATCGAAGTGAGACTGAAACCTGAGATCTATTGGCCGAGAACCTAATACCTTAATCACAAATAAATCATCACAAACACATGTTAGTTACATTGTTAAGATGAGTGAATAAGCACACGAAATTGTCTGTGACTGACACAATAATATCAACAAGCAGACCTCTTATTTAATAATAATAATAATAATAATAATTCATAGTTGAGTATATCGAACAGAAAAACACAACAATATGTACACAAACGACTTACATCGATTCAATAAACGATCACCAATACTATAGATCAGATGACCGTCAACATCATCGACAACTTCATCATCGTCTTCTTCTTCAGGAGACTAAGAAATAAAATTATACAAGAATGTCACATTTAATTATTGAAAATACTTAGAAAACAACAAAAATATGTCACCTAACTAATTCTTTTACTTATGAATAAGTCTACAGGTATAATTGAAGTGCATTATTTTAAGATAAACATTTATATAACAATCATGAGTTATTTAGAAATGTAGATTAGTATAATCTTACACATTCTCCATTATCACCGTTTTAACATGCTAGTTATTAATGTCTAATCATAAATATGGATTGTCGTATTTTACATTGACACTAAAGAGGGCAAAAAAAATGGTTTTTCGATAGAATAACAGAATAAGAATGATACAAATACTGCTAATAACATACATATGCAATCATTTATAAATTTCAATTGCTTGATCGAATTTTTGTACATGTAGTAGATGCACGTCGTTAAATTTCGGGTTAACTGAAAACATTTAAGACATGTAAAGTATTACATGAAAAAAGTAATATCACAATTAAACGGTTATTTCACGGTGATATCCGATATAAATTCTTAAGAACCTGTAAGTGTTTGATAAGAATAAATATTTTTAGGGGCTATCAGATCAAACTCATTCATCATGTACAGGTGTACTCGAATAATTTTTAGCCAAACACTGTTTGACAATCTATGTAAACTGTAGTATATGGAATGAATCAATAGTCTAACAGACATTAATTATTAACCGTGACAGATTATTAAACAAAGAGAGTATAGAACACACTTTGAAATGTATTCTTCTTAATCAATTTAACTTTTCATTTAAACATTTTGTATATTAGAGAATGTGATCTTTTTGAATTTCTCAACATTGTGTTTTTTTAATAAGAACATTCAGATGAATAAATACACAGTGATGAACTACGCTAAGATTAGTACACAAAGGATCGTTCTATGTATAAAGTAGAATGATTACAAAATGTAAAATGTACAAGTCATAATAAATAAATAGAATAAAATAAAAATAATTAATCATTACTCTATACATTTGAATTAACTTCGCTCTATACATAATAATATAGAGTTGATAACAAAACACTAAACCTACAATCATGTTTATCTGTAATACAACAATGGTAAACTACTCTATGGAATGTATACAACAAATTATAACTTGCTTAACAAGTTAATCATTTATATTCATATAATACTATACTATAAGATATATCATAATGTTCTGATATAATATCAATATAAAATAAACAACATTATCACTTATAGGATAAATAAAAATATTTAGAAAAACCAAAGAAATAAATTCACCTCAGCCTCTTGTCTTAATAATAAATTCTCATTTAAACTTTCAGTAACGCTAAGTTTCCTAAGTTCAATAAATCGTTTGGCACGTTGTCTGGCAACAGCTAATCTCGAGGTAGCTTGATCTTGAGTGTCTTGTGTCAGTGAATCAGTATTATTGTTAACTAATTTACTGGCATAATGATTATCAATACCGTTACCATTAATAGTATTATTATTATTATTATCATTAGCAGATGTATTAACAGTATTCATCATATGATTCTCGTTTTGTTGGTACGTCATAGATCCATCTATCATTGCATTTTGTCGTATTGCACAAGCGACAGTAGCTGCATTTATCTCTTGTGTTTTTTGTGTACGACGAAGTTGTCGTCGGAGACGTCGACCAACTGTTTCACACTCAGAATCCTCATCTTCATTATTTTCATTTATTTTGTTATTCTCTTCCTCATCAATTTCATTGTTGGAATTCAAACAATTTTTCATTGATCCATTATGTAGGTTATTACATTTAGTATTAGTATTTGTTACGTCATTGGAATTATCCAACCTTCTTAAATAATTGCCTGACTTTATGTTAGAACATGACTTGAAAGTAAATGGACCACAAACGATAACTGATGCTTTGCATGGAGGACTGAAATATTCTACTCTCTTAGTAAACCTAACATTTGTTGCAGTATATCCATCGCAAATAATGCAAACAGTAAATACAGCTGCAGGATGATCCGGTAAAGTTTCAGTACAATCCACAAATTCACCATCTATTGGCCAACGAAATCTAGGTGAATTAGCACCGAAAACTAATGGATTGTTACTAGTTGTAGTAGAACGCATACGTCTTAATGGAACACCACGAGATAATGGTATTAGATAAGGCATATATTCTATCACACTAGTGAATAAACTGAGTCTATACAAAGATGGCTGTTGCTTTTCTTCTCTCTTATTAATTATACAAGTAGATGATGAAGGAGCCTGTTCTGTATCCAACGAGAAATAGTTTGAACATCGTTCACAAACAAGACGTATGTCATTGGTCTGAGTGGCCGTGCTTGCCGTTGGAACTTGTTTTTGACATAATTCATGCTTTGAAATTGGTTTCAATGTAACCAAACGACTGCCAGAAGTAAGTGCCTTAAGTAATTGGTTTACAGGAGATTTGACTGAAGAAGATGATGTAGGCAATAAATCTCCAGCACCAGCCTCATTTCCATAAACTGGTGATTCTGGAGACAACAGAGATGATGAAGTGGCCAACAAAATGATGCCTTCATCATGTTTCATTGCACATCCATCGTCTTCTGTATCAAATACATCATTGTCTGAAGACGCCCCACCAGTATCATCTTCAAAATCTGGACCATTAAAACTAGAGGTAGCTTTTTCAAGTTTACGTAGCAGCGCTGCATTCACCTCATCAGCTTTAACGCCATATGTAGGTTTGATTGTGCGTCGTGTTGTTGCAGGTTTCCTATCAGCTGGTGGAGAATAAGAAGACTCTCTAGATGCTGCGCTTCCTACACGTAATCGACTTAAACCATCATTAATATGACTATTACCAGTACCACGAACTGCAGACGCTAAATTTGGATTCACAGGAACTCTTGGTGGACGAGTAGATGAAGTAGACATAATTGTTAAACTATGATTAGTTTTGGGAGAATTAATGTAACCTAACTGATTAGAGATCAATGTCAACTGTTGAAAAGAATCAGTTATGTAAGGTTCCAATAAAGAAATTGAATCTGATGTTGTTAATAATTGAATATTCGATAAGTTATTGAAATTGTTTGATGAATTTTCTGTGGAATTTATCAAAGGATTTGGTTTATAATCGGACAATAGAAGTGGATTAGATAAATAAATAGACTGAACACTATTTTTAATTGTTTTACAATAATGATAAACTATACAATCTGTAACTATAAGTAAAACATGATAATGTACTGACCGTGTAAAATAGAGAAAATCTTGATCAGAAAGTGTCAAATTTATCAGTTCAACTAGTAAATATGAATGAGAGGGATGTAATAAGTTCGATGCATATTCCAACAAATGAAACTGATTATCTATAATTTGTGAATAATTATGCAAAGAGTATTCAGGTGTTTGTTTCGTTAGTGTCCTAGTGTTGTTCTCTTTTAAATTGGAAGATGATGTGCAAATAGCGATAGGAAGATAACAATTTGGTACTAAATGCTGTAGACAAACAGGTTGAACAGTACCAACAGAAGGTTCTACAGAAGTAATTGAAGTTATTCTTGGCACAAAATTAGAAAATTCAGTTGATAAGGCAGAAGAGGTTGGATTAAAACTCGCACGATTTGATGACTGTATACAATTAAGTGATGAATGAACTACTGATGACAATTCTTGTTGCTGTAAATTATTTGTAGAATCTGATGTACAATGATTAAAATCAGATGACGAAAATGTGTTATCATAAATGGGTGAATCTGATGGCTGACCTTGGTTGGTAGGTCTGGCCGGATAACTTGTTTTTTGCCCCAGTTGGAAGGTGAATTTAACAAAACTTGATGTTGAAAATATATATATTTAATCCGAAATTCAACTGTCATGTATACCAACAATAAAATGAATGACACTATATAGACATTGTGATGTGATGATAGAGATCGACGTAACCAATCATAAATATAGAAGTGAGTGAAGGAGGATATTGTGTTATTTGAAAATTCAGAAACGTTACACCAATAAGTACATGTACAAATGAATTGTTGATGAAGTAATATATATTAAAGGTGCGCAATAGGGCAGATAAATTTTATGCGAAACCGAATATCATATAAGAATAGGCTGCACAACAAGTTCCAAATTACTGCCGTCAATCAGATCCGATAAGATAGTTTTGTTTAGTGGTAGTAATATAGTTTTTTTCTAGACACACGCAGAAAAGTTGAAGAAAACACGCACACCAAGTGTACATTCACAAGGTTCGGACAAATACAAAATCAATCTGTTGACATTACTACGTGTTAACGCACACACACACACAAGTATAATCACGCATACATGAACAAAATCAGTAAAACACTGTTTCCTGAGGAGCAGAAAAATATGTGCACAAACTAATACACTTATCACATTTTTTTCATTTTACATACCGTGGGCGTAGTTAGGAAATTAAGGAAGCTATATACAGTCTAATTCATCTGCCCACATAATGATTGTGATTAAAAACAAACACAAAATTGTGTAGCATTTAGGCAGCAAAACATATCCTTGAAACAGTAGTCTACTGCATGTTATAAGATCGAAGGGGAAAAAAAGCCTCCATACAATATATAACTAATAAGAATTCACTTAGTCGACTGTATTGATGGAGATGAAGAGAAGAACTGGTTTTGCCACATGTTGACACACACACAAAGAGGGAAGAACAATCAATTGACATATTGAACCAGACATAAAAGCAAATCAAGAAATTGGTCAAAGGATAAATAAGTAATCGATTATCATTATTATTGGTAATAATGACTATATTATGAAGTAAAAATTAGTTTCAAAAATAGATTATGTAACCCTAGTAAAAAAAAATTATTTTTAACCTACATAGAATACTTCGTAAAGTTGTTCACACAAAATATACTGAAAAATAGTGATAATCACCGAAAAATTAGAAATCCCAGTTTTACATTGGATACAGTATCCTGAATCGTCCAACAACGGTATCAGTAATAAATAATGAAACTTTTAGTCAATCAATTCATATTTTTTATTATAGAGGTTTTTGTGGAGATTACTGAATTTCATAATTTCAGTGAAAAACTGTAACCATTGGAGTGTAATCAACTCTGATGTGAAGCAATTACACACTGCTAGCACGAGAAGATGTCTGTACCATATAAATGAAGAAAAATTAACTTATTCATCTGGGATTTGGGTATAAGCCACACTTTAAGTGTGAGGTTAAATGGTACTACCTAGTTGACTAATCCAAAGCAAGTGGAGCGGGGACTTAGTGGTTGTAAGTCGGATACTTTAATTACTAAATTCATTACCTCAATGATTTAAGGAGAATAATACTAATGGTTATATATCATAATAATCCATAACCATTCATAAACCCTACCTAAATACTAATTATTTATCATTACACCTTATGTGCCCCCAAATGCTCTGGTACGGTCGAGAGTGGGGAGTCTGCTCTCCCTCTCGAAATGCTCTCACATGGCCACGCGTATATAGTCTCTGCCTTCTCGTGGAGGGGGTTTGTTTACGAAAATGAGAGGACGAAAAGCGAATGTCCGGCGCTTTAACCGAATTCCAAACCAATGGAGCACATGGGCTCTAGTACCTTGAAGGAACAAATGGCGTATGAACCAATTGTTGGTCACCGGCTTCCATGGGACGGCATCTCCTTACGATGCTCCACTGTCTTGTGGATTAGACCTTCAGGTCGAAAGCTCAGGGAGTGGCCTCCTAAGAAAACCACCTGCTTCGGTTCGGGCACTCGGGCAGTATCACAGCCCTCACACATATCGAATGAGATTTGTGTGGCGCATATGTATTTGGTGCCTCCTTATACCAATATCTATGTGTTAAAATAAATAATAAATAAATAAATAAACACCTTATGATTTTATTTTAGTTCTGATAAGCAATAAAACAATTCCAAATAGAAAAGTGCAAATCTTAACTTTAAATGAACTAAAATAAAAAATCGTTCAATCTACCCAAGTGACAACTGATTAAAAAGAGCTATAAAAAATAATCATGAACATATTGATTTCTAATAAAAAAAGGAAATCATAAATAGTGTGTGTGATGATGATATATACGACAAATTGTAAGTTGGCCTGTTAAAAATAGAATGTATACTTATCACGATAAGAAAATGTTGAAGTTATTGTGACGCAGGAGAGTATTGTTAATTTTATAAATTGAAATGCATGATATCTATTACATTGAAGATTCTTCCAAGATAAAGCATTAGAACAGTTTTTTCGATACATTTGTATTTGTAAGAAAGTATGGAAATGAACTTAAAAATAAAGATTATGTTTTCAAATATCATCTTGGAATAGTACAAAGATGCTAGCCTGTCATAAGAAAATGTTTCCAATTTCTACAGAAAAGGCTTAAACTGATGAAAAACACAAACACAAAATATTATAAGGAATATATATGTATATTCGGTGTATGATGAGAATGTCAAATTTCTGACATACAGCTTCTAGGAAGAAACCAATTTTAAGATTTATATAATGATCTGAAGTGAATTCATTCGGTTTTCAAATGTATATTTTATTATCTGTTTTAATTAATTTTTCTTAGGACTTCCACAATACATGATTCTTACAAGACGTCCTAGAGCACTGTAGTATTGTATACTAGCTAATCGGTTTATCTAGTCTGCATAAACTTTGTTTCTTATTAAATCGAATCTCATAAATTATTCGTAATTTAAAAAAATACTAAAAACTAACTCAAATCACAACATTGAAGGAATACATATACAGTTGTCTTAAGTAACCAGAATATACATCAATAGAGATGATCGAAATTTATAGTGACAAACATTGAATAGAGTTTCAGTCGGTAAAAATTCACTGGTGTTAACCTAGACATTTTCAATGCAATTCGATCTACTTTCTAATGATCACTGCATACATCAATATTGACGTGAACAAAGTCATAAAACGTAGAAACTAATAACAGCAAAAAATATCAATATATGTACACACTAACTGGATCGAAGCTAAGATACAATTCGAACGAGGTTGAACTAAATCACTAGATATTATGAACCTTTACTGACTAGGATCATCGAAAAATTAACGAACACAGACTGCACGACAACTATTAACCTTGATCAGTAATGATTAATCAAAAAATAATAATAAAACCGAAGATAAATTTGGGCAATTTTGAAGCATTCGATTATGACTAAGTGGGATGTGTCAGGAATGATGAGAAGCTAGTGAATTTATGATCTAAAAGATTCACTAGATAAACATGTACACATAATCAGAAAAATCCAAGAAACTCAATGATAAAGAATAACTCAAATAATTGATTGACTCACAGATGAGCTACTTGAAGAATCGGAATTATGAGATTCAGAGTCTCTAGACGACTCATGTTGACTATGATGATGATGATCTGCACGCCGTGAAGTTGTTTCAGGTGTTTTTAAAAGTGCTTTAGAACTGGAAACTTTAGTTGAATAGTTATTATTCACCTTTTTAATACTTTTAGGACCAGGCTCCCAAACAATATCTGTTTGTTTTTTACGCGCATTCTGGTGATGATGATGATCACTTGATGCCCCAACATGTTTTCCAACTCTCCCGATAGGTGATTGACTCGAAGAGGTAACTGGTGGGCGAAAATTTCTCGAGTTGCCACTTTTAGACCAATGTAATTTTGAGTCATGTACATCTGTTTTAATGTGTGAATGTTTTACAGGATAATTCCTAGAGGCGTAATTTTGTCGCATACCATTAGTATCCTTGTTATTGGTTGTATGTCCAAAACGAGGTGGTCTCGATCGAGATGAACTATCAGTCATATCAATATGCATAGTTCCAGATTTAAATGACTTACTAACATAATGATCATCGCGAGTATGACGTTCATGAGCCATTGTTGACCAAGAACTTTCTTCTCGTTGATTTTTTATAGAACTCGAACGCCTGTAGGGTAAAATATATTTATAACCAATAATGTTTCAATGAACGTATGGAATATGAGTAATAATCTCTCAACATCCAATATTATAACAATATGGGTGTTAGTTATGATACTCGGAGAAACTTCAACAATATCCTGACATGTACACTTGTTTGTACACAGAACTATAGAACTCCAAGTCCCACTCTTTACTGATTATGCCATTTCCCAAAAATAAACTAATCTATATGACAAATCTCAACAAAAAAATTTAGTTATGTATGTTTTAGTGTTGTGTGAACTGATAAACATTTAAATGAGACAATCGAGTCGATGATAGAGATGTACAAATAGTTGGTGACTATCCATCAACAGATTTGACAACTCGCAAGTGTTTCATACATCAGAAAACATCTAAACATGTGGGACAATTAACAAATAATAAAAACATACATGACCAAGTCAACAGATAAGCATTTAACTGTATTTCCGCGATGACAGTTTCTCAACGATTCACATCGTAATAATATACCAACTACTATAAAAATAGTCTATGCACAACGAATAGATAGCATGATTATAGAGCAATTAGTATTGTTTATTATCCTAACAAGCTGCACTATACCAAGTGTATTTCATTATGTTAACAGGGCTGAAAAGATATAACTGATGGAAATTAATTCAAGACACCAATTCAACCTACTGAAAATTATGTTAGTAATATCTTTAGTCTAGTTGAAAAACAAAAAAAGGCAATAGCGTTGGAAATTTGTCAATACTATGAAGCAAATCTTAAATTAAATATATGGTCTACTCAACATGATTGTTCTATTCAAAACAATCAGAAAAACACAAGTATGAAAATATATATGATAAACGCAAAAATAACACAAGAGCATAGATTATGTTTGAAGCTCATCAAAATGGAAACTCCATAAATGGGTACAAATACAGACATATATGTCAGCTTATATTCATGTTAATATTGTAAGTTATAACACAAACGCAGTAAATAGTTAGAAAACCATATCTACCTGGATGTTTTCGAAGTAACTTGCCCATGAAAAACTTTCTTGTTCACTGAGTGATGAGAGTTTGGAAGCTGAGGATGTCGTAAAGATGAAGAGGGAACTTCATTGACATAACCTTTTCTTGATCTCCATATTTTAGTTTCAAGTTTTGTACTCGTTGGTGGAGAAAGCAAAGCACGTTTACGGTTGTTATTAAAATGTTTTTCTTCAATATTACGTTCAATCCGGTTTTTAGACTGCCCATATTTGCGAGTATTCGATAATGATGAATCAGGAGTACATGGCTTTCGCTTGGAATGCTTGTATTTGTTCTCCATCACTCTTTCTTTATTTCTACGATTTGGCACATTGCGATCAGTACTTCTTGAGGAAGTGTAAGAAGAAGTTGGAGAACGAGAGGACTGTCTACGCACATTTCGATTACCTGGTGTTGAGCTCTCATCCTCAGAAACGTCAGAACAACCATCTTCACCACGTCTCAAAATGGATGACTCTTTAGAAGAGATATCTTTGAGATCTGATGAAGAATCACGGTAACTATAAACCGGATTCGATATTTCTCTTCTATTGTTGTCATCGATGTCATCACCAGAATCAGAACTTCTATGGCACACGGATGCAGACAGCTTTTTCTTCTCTTTTAAAGAGCGGGTTTGTCGATTGTGATCATTGCTATCATTTAGTTTTTTTGGTTTCGGTTTAATACCTTGCCGTCGCGACCTCGACTGATTATGTCTACCTCTGTCTTGTGATTGAGACGTTGATGAATGACGTGAAGAACCAGATGATATTACTTGGATCTTGTTATTTCCTGGAAGATTACTTGAACTTGAGCGAATGTGACAATATGAACGAGAGGATGATGAAGATGAAGTGGAAGAAGATGAACTACGAGGAGAAGGAGCAGGTGGAGGTTCAACATCACCGGATGAATGTGACCGATGTCGGTCGGTTTGATGAGGATTTGCATAGGCTGCAGGTAGTGCACGGTTTTGTTGATCCTATTCAAAAGAAAATAGTTTTCTTTATACTTCAAGAGTATATGGAAATAGTAATTAAATCAAGATAAGTTATTGTGGAATACACCACATTTATAGTTATCATTTAAAAAATAATGTGATTCGTTTACGTTAGATTAAAAACAGGGGATTCAAAATATTTTCATCCAACAAGTTAATATGGACATTTATACATCTGTGATGATAGTATAGTGCGCAGTTACGATTCTTAATAGGGGGTTGTCAAGTTATTTGATAAAGGAAGAATACGTTGCAAAACTGTAACATGTCACCATTTAGGAAATGACCAACCAAGAAGATTATTCTACTAGAATAATCGTGCGGTTTAAGTTTCATAAAAGTCAACAGTGTACAATGAGAACTTGTGTGATGTTTTATTCAGGTGACTAAGATCAATGGTAAATGACCGTCATGAATCAATCCTATATCTTGGTACGACATTACTGGAATAATCTTTTTTCACTCTGGTGCTGTTACTAATCACTCGGTCATTCGGAGAACATAATGATTTGAACAAATACATTGCAGATCAACGTCCAAACGAGAATAGTGGGATTGAAAAGTACTATGAAACAGTAATAAGCTAAAATCAATTTTTTTCGAATGAACCAAAATTCTAAAAATTATCTAAACACTTACCGAACTGTCACTGCTATCACCAGTATCATCGCTACGAAAATTTGCAAACTGTGATGATTGGTTGGGGGAATTATCTTCGTAGGACATGCCTACATTGGAATGTGTAATATGTCGATTTGTAGATCTCTTTCTTTTATTGGAAGTATTACAGACATTTGGAGCTCCATAAGAATTTGACCGAGAAGTAGATGCGGAAGTGGATGAGTTGGAACAGTTGGAGCTGTGATAATCTCGACTATGCATTATTTTAGTATTATGCTTTGAGGAGCGTGTCTTCGGTGATCTGTTATTTGACGATTGAGAATTTGTACACACAACAGGTTTTCTTACAGATAGATTTTCATTTGAATTCGATGAATCCAAACAGCGACCTGATATGGAACTAGTTATCTCATTTTGTCTACGCGTTTTATTATTAAGAGAACTTCTGGAGCAAGATTCACGGGATAAATCATAATGTGAACATGTACCACCAGAATCACCTTCATCCTGAGAAGATAACGGTGGACTAGACGGTGTTCTAGGACCTCGTGGAACACGCGAGACTGGTTTATTAGAATTTGTATCTGACGGACCAGGCGCATCATCAGGAGACATATATTTGTTGCCTTTACGGGAGAATTCTTGTTTGTCTGATACTGGTTCCTGTTCTTTTTTCATTTTATCTTTCACTTTACGTGTTGTTGAAAATTTCCCTGAATGCTTGTTCTTTGGGGTTTCAAACATACATCTATCTGAAGATAGTGGTCTACAAAGTTAAAGGCACATCATAAAGATGATCAAGCACTTAAAAGTTATGAATCTCCAAGTAGACTAACTACAATACTTTCATAGGTATAACTATGATTTCTACAAAATGTATACACTATTTAAAGGCAAGATGAGTTCTACAAAATTATACTGAACCCTAACCCTAACACACGTAACTGTAATATGTTCCCAGTTTTTGACAAAGTTTAACGCAACTTATCGGACAGGTATAAATGCACTACAACTAAACACAGATAATTAATAAATATATAAACATAAAATCTTGTAGTTTTTTTGCTGCATAAGTGGTTTAGTCGTACTTGTTAAGTGACTCGAAGGTGGCAAGTCAAATCGTGTGTGGCGTTTGACCACTAATCAAAATCTTTCATTCATAAGACTAATAATGTAGGAAACATTTTGATTTTTGTAACCTTTGCTTGGAGAAGCTAGTTGGATTAATTCACAAGATTCTTACTATTTAGAAAGGCATTATTTCATGATTAATGTTCTAACAACCAAATCACTTCGTTAGTTGCTACTGATGCACATTTCTAGAACATATTACTCAATTTACGCAGGTTGGTAACGTACTAAACTTGATTTTATCAGTACTATTAAGCAAACTTAAATAAACCAAAAAAATTTCTCCAGACAAAAAAACTACAGGTTCGTTAGTTTACTTACCTATTAACAGATTTGCGTACTACAACATTAGACTGATAATCTGAACCAGAAGAACTATTACTTTCAGTGTCTGAGTCATTCCCATGTCGAGTTTTTATGTTGTAATTTTTATTAAACGTGGAACGAATTTCCCTGACATCACTTCTTATTTTGGAGTTCTCATGTTTACTTCGTCCAGACTTAGGTTCTGATGACTCAGATGGAGGATGGCAGTTCAACTTTAAACTATTTATTTGTTTCTGAATTTCAATTGGGTTTGGTAAATTAAATAGATCACAAAATGGTGGAGCGAAATCAACAGGAGGACATCTTAGAGTATTTAACAAATTCGATGGATTCATAGACGGAAATAGAGATGGACAAAGACCTGACATTAGTGCAGCAGCTTCCAAGACATTTGGAATATGAGGTGATGTAGCACAACCAGGGAATAATGATAAATCATTACCAGAGTTACGAAATCTTAAATGTCGTCTATCCACATCCACTGGTGTAGGTAAAAGTGGTCCACGTTCATGATCAAACCTAGGGTGGAAAATATGAGATTTAGTCAATGAAATAACGTTTGTGGATCTAATCATCCTTATGTAAAATGACTTACTCAGTGGACGTAGGAAGTAAAGTGTCAGTAGGCAGGACTTCAACATGTCGTCTCTTGCCTTCTGCTGCAACTCGGCTAAATGTCGAGGATGTAGAAGTTTTCTGTACCTTTGAAGATTTTGATTCTGATAAATTATTCGCCTTTTTCTGGTTTTGTTGATTTGAGCTAACTGTTTCACGTGAGCTGTCAGCTTCGTTTTCGCTTGATGATTCTTCAAGTACGCCTTCATTTTCTTCGCTTTCCTCACCATATGTATCATCATCCTTAGCCTCACCTTCTTCAACAGATTCAGTTTCATTCGGTGACACTGCTTCTGTGGTGCTAACTTCATTATTAGCTCCGAATGATTGTTTAGACTCAGTAACAATTTCAGACGTATTTGATGTTACTACTTTGGAATTATCTTCGTCATGAACTGACTCCTCTTTCTGTCTGGTTGACGTAGTAGTTTCAACAGTCGAGCCTAGTTTAAGAAAATATTAACCCAAAAGTATGAACACTTTCTAACAATCCAAATATAAAACATCAGATATGAAAGTAATAGTCAAGTAGAAAAATGATTTACAAAGCAGTTTTATTGATTGATTTAACAAACAATAAGCAAATAACTTGATCTGTACGCTGAATATTATATCCTATGGAAGAACAATATTGATACAATTCCAAAAAGGAAGAAATAAACAGCTACCGATATACGCGAATGTAATCGAAATCGACATATACTTCAAAAATTATCACCGATATGACATTCTTGATTAATTAGTCACTGTGAACTGGTGTTAATGTGAAATAAGTTACTTAATAATTACAAGTGACTGTAAACGCATCAGTACAAAAGCAAAAAGAACACAGCAATTATGCATCCAACGTCTAATTATCACAGTAATGATTACGAGCTTTCCAGTGATCAATAAAATTTGAACGAATGTTGTAAAGAGTTTATGGTACAAAGTGATTTTTTGTGACAAAAATAAAGAAATCTGCCCCCTATTAATTTAGATATTGACAAGAATTATGAATGAAGTGAAACAGTGAACTTCCATTGGCTCTCACTGGTCATGTGAGAGCATTTCGACAGCTGATTCTCTCCATGGCATTTGGGGGCTAAGAAGACAATATGAATTCGTGGGATAAAAAAATATACGGTGGTTTAGAAACCTAAGAAGAAAAACAGTAAGCGCACCAAAACCATGTCATACAGAGTATCTATCAATTGGTTACGAAAATAGAGAGGACCACAACGAGACAACCTGAATCTACTTATACAACCTATCCTTAATGCCAATAACTCAAGAGACTAGTGTCATGTATTGTTTTACCCACCCCTAACTTTCTTCAAAACTACTCCCTAGACAAAACGTTGCACGTAAAGGTTAGTGGTGATTGGGCATACGTAATAAATATCTCAACTAACTCACTTTAAAATTTACAGCCTCATCAATCAATATGTCATCTTTACCTAGTACGTTTCATCTAATCTCAACACTGTTCACTCAATTGATAGTCCCGACATACACCAGTGATGCTTCAGAGGTATCTACAATCATAAACTAATACTCCACAGATATCCTCTATTTCCAAAGGTGAAATGTTGTAGAAGATATGTAATTTAAAGCAACTTAACTAAGATTGATAGGGCGAACCAAAAGGTGAATACGCTTTACTTAGAAAACTTACGTCTACGAACAACGCGTCTGGAAGATTTCTGTTGAATTTCATTATCATCATTTGCTGAGTTCCCTTTACAAAGCTGATCATTACTGACGTAATCTGGGCAATGGTCATCACTTTCTTCAGAAGTGTATTCTATCTTTTTTACTTTGATAGGTGATTCTCTTTTTCTAAATCCTTTCCCTTTTGCAACTGTATCTTTCACAGAGGAACGAGAAGAGTCGTTTGTTCTATTAGATCGAAAAGTACGGGAATGTGAGTGTTGACGTTGTTCAGGTGAATGGGAAGAAACATTGGATGACTCATGCTTATGATATTTTTTTGGACGCCTTCCACGTATATTTACATCTCGGTTATGTTTGGAAAAATCAAAACTATTACCACTTGATAGTACCGATCCCATAGAAGTTAGATCCGATGGAATACCTGAATTGTTAGCAGCTGCAGCTGCAACAGCAGGTAGCAAGTCAGCATTGGGATAACTAAAATAATAAAACAAAATGGGATTATACCAATATATACCCACATTCATTGCAACTCTAGAAATCTTATTAAATAAACACGATTCGTAAATGAAGGTGGATATTTACTGACATCGAATGGCATTGAGTTGACGATAGGCCTAGTGAGTTTTAGGATTATACGAATGACTACGTCTTAGACTAATGCTTGCAAAAATTCCAATATTCCTCTAATAAATCTCATTATAGCACTCATTTGAAAGAGCAACCAGTAGTTTTGGAGGCCTTCCAGTTAGTTTAACTATTCTTGCAATTGAACAAAAGTATCCCGAAGAAATACGTAACAATTTTAGCATCATTTCTTCTGGACTAGATAGTTTTATTACAGGTTTCATTGTTATGCTGTACAACATATTAAGCTCACACTTTACATAAGGTAGGCACTTCGCTTCAAATCTTTAATACTTCAATATATAACAATAAACCGTATGTTTCCATAAGCTTCATAGCGTTATGACCGTTGATCTGCTGCTCTGACAAGACAGTAAATTAGAAACTGAGTCTGAAACAACTCATTTTTCAATCAAAAACGTGTGGTAAAATAACGCAACCGTAATAAACAAATGGGTTCGATTGTTAAATTACTAATGAAATGGAAGCGGATAAAAACTAGGACTATATTGATCAGCGAAAAAACTGGAGATCACACTATTTGACCATAGTTTTATTCCATTGCTTAATAGTAATTACACAACAAGGTCATGACAAAATAATCACGTATATCGAGATTATATTAAAAAAACTGTTATCAACTTAATATTGAGAAAAACGATCTGTGTGCAAAGAAACCATTTCGAATCCATTTGTAGGTTTTGACAACAGACAGGTTACATAGCATCAGCCAACATATAAAATCAAATACAAAGCATTCTCTCGACTTCCCTGCACTTTATAATAAGTACCTTACAACCATTATGAATATTACAAGTTTTATCAACAACAGTTACGCTGTTCCCATTACACGATGGCAAAAGTCGGCTAGGAATAGTTATCCTGTAGTTAGGTAATACATTGAGTCATTATCTTTTCACATCATAACACAAAAACTTGAATGAAAGTGAGTAAATAAGTAGCATCACTAGCCGTCAGTGTGATACCAACCGCGAATACATAAACCTGTACTTGGCAGACGAGATTCGTCACATTAGTTACTTGTGATGCTGTTTCCTGTCATACAAACGAGTATTTAATTACTTATTAGTGAGTAGGGTCTGATTATTGAAAACGGGTTCAGAAAAAACCAAATTTGTACCATTGTGTATTCATTACGAACAAAGTAGCATGATATTTTAGATAATAGTTTTAACTTACTTTGACAATGAGAGAGCAGTCGCCGTATAAGTTCGATAGTACTGTTGATACATATGACTGTAATACAACATTAAAAGTTGCTCATTATCCATATTTTGATTAGCATTATTAACATCCAGCCTGTAGTTTTTGAATTTGTTGGGTACAGTAGCTTGATTGGGATCGTAACCTTGAAATCGATTCCCGTAACCATGTGGTCGAATACTTAACAGAGGATTCCTAGATAAACTAGTTACTTTACGAGGGACAGTTTTGTTTATTCCCAGATTCCATTCTTCATCGGAGTTATGACTTTCTGCATTAGGAAAGCCATAGCCGGGGCTTGACTTTCTTATTCGCTTTTGTTCTCCCGAATGATAGTTGACCGCATTACTGTTGCCACGTGAATTGTATCTCCGTTTGATACCAAGTCGTAAAGAAGTATCATGATCAGTATCCCGCACATGCCGCCTTATATCTGTTTTCCCCATATTTGCCGAATCATTGTAGCATTTTCTGAGCTGCAATTTATGGCGTGCATCTGAAGGGAGTAGAGGAACGTGTGAACTTGACGAGTAAGGCATGTGACAGGATTTCGGGACTCTGAAAAGCAAAGAACTATGATGAGAGGTACGAGTTAGAATTCAGAATTGATATAACTAGGAATGATAGAAGTGTAGTACCTGTTACTTCCTAGTTGTCCAAATGGCGTAAGGTTTGACACCACTTAACTGACTCCTGTCTTATTAGCTTTGGACTTTGGTCTCCATTGGTCATGCACAACGTAGAAACTGAGATATGAGCATCAGTTCGAGTTGCCATACCATCAAGACGGTAGTACTTTCAATCGTCTGTTGCATATTCTTCTTAATGCACTTACTTTCCTTAATAATTGACTTTACGTATTTTTTATGGATAATGAAGAAGGCGGTAAATGCCAGTTTGTCAATAACCCCTTATCTATATATTAGGTCATATGGTATCCAAGCATAGATGTTTTGTGGAGACGAAAACACAATAATGGCATCTCAGTGCGTCTTAATAACGTTTAAATTCACGAGAAACGAAGTTAGACTACATAAATGATCGGAAATAATACCGACTACGTGTTCCTGGAAGTTACCGATGTAATAAAATTCGGAAATAATGTACACAATCATGAGCTGTCATACGGTTTGGTCATTGATTCTAAGCTTTTCCGACACTCCTTTATCAAAAGATAACCTGTTCGTTCATTGTTAGAGCCGCGAAAATAAGCTGCTGTGCCGTATACATGAATGAGGTATGAGACAAGAATCTGACTAACGAACCTAGCTAATAAACACTAACGAATTGAAGCATTTAGGGCGGAAAGATGAAACAGGAAGAGAATAACTCATAAAGTATTAGGTAAAAAGTCTTTAGACACATGAATAAGATGAAAATCAACGAATACTTCCTCCGTATATAAAAAAGCACGCTCATAGGCTAACGACAGTTCGTCGGAATCTACTGTCCCCAAACGTAACACACTGACAAAACTGTCATAATAAAACTCAAGGAACAGACTTAAGCTCCGTTAATTGACGAAAAATATCTAACAGCAATGAATTATGAGTGCGAGATCCTTAAACATGTATGGAACACTCATTCACGTCCTAGTAATTTATAATGTTTATCCAAACAGACTCGGTAGAATTAAAATAGTGCTAAACGAGGGGAAAATTAGATGACCAAAGTAACAAATATAGGAAGTGATAAACCCTTTATTCTAATAAATTCAATGCATTTACTTGGTTAACTGTTCGCATATGATATGACGTCGTATAAGTGTAATTCAATGAATATCTTAATTTCAAGCAATGATACACATTGATTGCAGTGTTAAAAATCATCTTAAAGAGTGTAATACAACCTAACTACTCAAAACCCTGGGAAAACTACTCACATTCATGAGATTCGAAAGCGCCGGTTTACTTTGTTCCGCATCCGGGAATGAGAAGAAAAACAAACTGACTTAAAATCTGACAAAATAGACAATTTTTTAATACATTTCATGAAAATTAGCACCTTTTCAAAAAATATCTTTCTCATGGGTTGATTTTTAAATTCAACGTCCAATATTTGAGAGTTCATAACATTCACATGAGGTGTAGTGGACTGTGTATTTGTATGTCCTATCTACTGTCTATTTCTCACCACGAATCAGATGGTTAAACAGTACTACGATAAAAATTTGAATTAAATGCACTGATCTTTTTTAATTTTTTCTGTCGAGAAACAGCTACATACATTTAGCAGATTACCGTCACCTAAATGTGATAATTCGCCAATTGTAGAACTTTATTAATAAACAAAAGCTAGCTCGCCTTACATAAGTTTGTCGGACCCTTCTGAAATCTGGGCCATTCCGATGAACTTGCATCATCACCAGACAGTAGTCCAGCTAATATAGCTGAGTCAGTAGTAAGCAAGAGGGTAATTGAGAACAAAAGATTTTGAGATAACTAAACATAAGGGAAAATCTTTATTCTTAGATATGAAAGCTCTGAGCGGGAAACAACACGGCGTTTGAGAGTGTTCTTGTTTCATAAACATATTCATGGGCGAAAGAATGACGAAGGGTCAAAACACTGTAACAGGAATAAAGGTGTCGCCATAGCACTCTCACTACAGCCTCAAAAAATACATGAGATTAGGTGTAGTGCAAATAAGTTTAGAAAGTGTTAACATGGGTTCGCGGACGTCAAGGTGGAATGTTTGCGGAACGAGGTGTAAATAAATAAATCTATATATCAAGGCGAAAAACCGCAAACGCCATCACGTTTTCAGACCAGTTACTGGAGACGTTGAGCTAAGTGACAGCACTCCGTTCCAATCCTATGGATAAGCGCAAGGCTAATAGCAGATTAGTTTGTCAAATAAGGACTGGTAAATGATACAACCGGAGTAAATACTGCTAGCAGTAGTCATATGTAACTGAAGAACAGCTCCACTTTTTATAGTTTTTAGAGAACACCAGAGCTGTATGTGATGTGGTGCCACTCAGCGACTCAAAGAAGCAAAGCCTTAGTCCAACATTAGTTATACAACTTATATATACGTCCAAAATGTAGACGTGTGAAAACCAGAATTATCAAAAAATCTTGACCCAAATATCTTGCTTTTTTTTAATTTTGCCGTTGAAGAAGATTACTTGGAGCAAAAACTTAAGATGCACTTTGCTCCTCGATAGCTGACTTTCCGACGTTAATGAAAACAACTTATGCTGACACAGACCAGAAGCATCTAATTACTTACCACATAGCTACCATCATCTCCATACGATCACCAGTCATTCTTGCCTCTCGATGTCTACAACGGGAAACGGAACTAATATTTCATTATAATCAACCAAAGTGTCTGAAAGGGAAATTGCGAAAATTCTGGAATTTATGTAGGCCTCAGATGATGGAAGAACCTAGGCTTTTGTCTGGAGTTTGCAAAATATGTTCAGGGAAGAATAAGCTCTTTCTTGTGGTATCTGAGTGGGAGGTACAGTCAGAGCATGTAGGTCAGTCGCCCTATCAAACCAGAGTGAGTGAAACAGGATCCGTACATAGGATTTGACGGCCAAACGTCGAGCGGCTTAACTAATTCGCCACCTCTCACACACATGAGCAGGCAAATATGTATTGAGAACCTTGTTTTAGTTTTTAAAAAATGGTAATAGTGTGTCGCTAATGAAAACATTTTGAGGAAATTCTTAAGCTTGTTCCACATACTTCATGGCTGTTCAATATGGATAGACCGAATGACAGGGCATCAGAAGAAGACCCGAATTTTTCGCAACTGTTTGATCCCAGCTCATTGTCTTCTGCACAAACTTCGCTGTCTCTAGTGAATAAGATCATTCCTTCCTCTTATACTCCGTCAAGTGCTAAATTAAGACATGCCTGCCCGTTGATTTGTGTTGATTATTTGAATTTTCCCATGGACACTTAAGACTACAGCAGAACCCCAGAATACAAGTGCATTCAGGTGACACGTCCCAAATAGGACGAAACTCCCTTCCCAATTTCCACAGCTAACCACCATCCATCTATGTTTACAATGATTGCGAACTAAAGCAATATCGAGGCAGTTCACACAGGATTCACATACAACAAAAAAACTGATTAGTTCTAGTCCTTAAAATCGATAAGAAGATTAAACCAATTAGTGCAAGATAACTTATGTTTCGTTTTCTTTTACCTAACATTTCCTTTCGGCGGCCGTCGTATTGAAGTACCGTTCACAGAATATTTGTGTGTAATTTTATCTCTTTTGTTCGATCGCACCGACGATAGAAATGTTTTCCCTCTTTGTTAGGGATGTCTGTTGTTATTTACAACCAATTAGCTATCATTATTTAATGTCTGTTGTTTATTTTCGAATCGCGGTGAATTTATGTATGCTTCTCTCTAAATAGAACATCGCATATACATTTCTCTCTATTTAGCACGTGAGCAGTCAATATTTTTAACAATTTATTACCTTAGTGTCCTATGATCTGAGTGTACATGACGTTTACCGAATAAGCGATAATACCTGTTGATAAAAGCATAGTACGGACATATTTCGCGTATCGTGTATATAATCCATATTATCGATTCATTTTACCACTTTCGATTGACTGAATTATTTGTTCCTTAGATAAACATGAATCAGTTGTATTCAGCAATCACAGAAGGTGTCAATGTAGGTTGTTGGTCAACAAAACTGGCCACATATTTCCGAATAAAGCCTATCGGTATAACTATCCTTTGCCTTTTTGTTCAGGATTCCCGTAGGTTCCTCACTCCATTCACGAACTGTCAACACCAGGTATAAAAAACTAGCTGCAATCAAAACCACGAACATAAAAGCATTGTTGCTAGAGATGAAGCGTTAGCATGACTGAAACAAGACTAGTGGTATCAACAGTTCAGGACTCCTGATATCTGTCCTTTGAAGATGTAGAAGAGCTGTTACTATATCGACTAACTATGACTGTAGAGCAGTTTCACCTGTTTTCCTCGGTCTCTAACTAGTCACAAAATTCTAACAGAATTTTCATTTTTACAAGAAGTGACCTTCGTAGATACTCACCATTACTTTGAAGTATATTATGTTATACAGTGCTATAGGCTATAACAGCAGAACTTTCAATGTCAATGAATTGTACGCGATCACAAACAACCGAAACGGAAACATTTGTTCAAGAACCAGGCAGCAATATCTGTTCATTATCCTATTCAACAGTTTGAACTGATCATCATGCACGTAACCGTTGGTCAACAATACGTGGAACTGAAATAACTGATCAACGTCTTAGTGCTAGAAAGCGGAATTTCGGCAGCAATAAGTAAAACATACAAATGATGTTCGCGGTTCACTTTTCATAGCTTCCGGTAATTGCTGCCCACGTTTCTCGAAGAAACTTAATATGAACTTAGCAGTCTTGATTTTCACACCAAAATAAATTGGTATTTTTCCAACAATCTCGCTAATTCCATTTTTATAAGTGGTGTCCAGCAGACGAACAAGCCACCCTTTTATCTCCAACACTGAATAATTGAAATACGTCGTCATTATTCTTTCTTTCAGTTCGCTCATTACTACTGAGTCATTCATCCCGGATTGTATCTGGCATTGAAATTCATTGTACTTCACTACTTTTCACCGAAGATTCAACGTCCAGTGTTTGCTCAGCCACAATGATTGTATGCCTAAGAAACATTGTTATTCTACTCCCACTTCAGCCGAGCTATATAACTACCTGTTTGTCTAACTATCTGATAATCATATTCCATCGTCATGTCAACACATAAATATTTGAGAAGTGCCAAGTGACACTCCAGACATTCCACAGTACAAATGCTTGTGATTCTAGGGACAGTGCCTATCTGATTCTACATTATTGCAAGGCTGTAGAAAGTAATAAAACTGAACTGATACGCTTCATCATAAAGGTGACCCTGTCTTCTTGAAGTGTGGGCAGGTTTTGTTTGATTTAAGAAAGGTCTTGAAGAATGAATTAGATAAACGGGTTGGAAAAAGGATAACGATCTCAAGTGAGTTGTTTAACTGAGCTGAAAGTAAAAAATCTAAAGTTTGGAGTGTTCATAGGTTGACGCTTAATACTCTGCTATTGTAGCAAAGTTGTTCCTCTAAAGAAACCAAATACATACTATTTAAATTACGGAAGTCTAATTTTTTTCTAGAGAAGACCTAAAATCGGATATTTTTAAATTACACCGGAAAGAATTTTGAGTGAACTAACTACTATCAACACACCATTCAGATTTTTTCGATACATATTCCCACCTCTCTGAATAAATTTTTCACCTGCGATATTCCAGGCTATGAATCAGACTGTAAGCAGTTCCGTTGACGTTGGGTCGTTCCAGGATGACATAGTAGTTCATGCTGAAAATACTGAGCTGCATGATGAACGTTTCGTTAAGTTCTTTTGAAGCTTTCTTGATACGGGTATTTCCGCGAACCGACTCAAGTTCCAATTTCAACTTCATTCTATCAACTGTCTAGGCTATAATGTAGACGCCAAGGGCTTCAAAACCTTCTGATATGAGCCGCCAAATCCCACTGATTGTAGGACCACTATCCACGAATATCTCTGTACACACATCATGGATTGACCCTCTTCAGCTTCATTTCAGGTTTGCCTGTAACTTTATAGGAATATTATACACATTTTTTGACTTTGTTTCTAGTCAGGTGTTTGTAAAGGAACAACAACAGCATGGTATACTAAGAAAATGGGCCAGTCCATGGCATATGATTAACTGATGCGCGTTGGCTGTCCCTGACCTTGACGAGGATCAATGATTTGCTCGATATTCAATGACCTAACTGCCGGATGATTTGGCCCTGCAATGTCATGGTGAAAGTAAGACATACGAAGGCTTAGAGCTTTTTTTCTGTAAAATAATAAACTTAGGGAATTTAGTGTAA